CAATTTTATCAACTGGTCTTCGTAACAAAGTAGTTTTGGTTTTAACGTTTACAATAGTAACCAAACCTTTACGATCAGTTAACACTATCGACACGACAAAATAGTACTGTTAATATAATTATTTTGTAAGTTTACTTTGAAATGAAACACATTTCTCTCCTAGAAATTTCAACCCAAAGCAGTCACAAAGTTTGGCTGAAAATTGTCCTCTGTTATAACCAAATTTTGAAGATGTGTTCATCTTTACATTTTCATCAACGCAATAAAAAAAAATTCCAAGTTTAATAGTACTATTTTGAGGCTGCTTTTAGAATTCTCATAAAAATAATAGAAAAAATTCGAAAAAACTTTTTACTTTTCTCAAACAAGAAAAGTGTACCGGGAACAATCTATTCAGAAAAAAACATGTTTATTGGAGGTTTTCCACTCTTTAGAGGTTGTGTTTTTTCTAACATAATATTAGAATACCTTTACGCTTAGTGTTGGGCATCACCGTAACTTTCGTTTTGTTAGTATCACGTGACTCCTTTAATCTCTTCAGCGCAAACTATGCTGTGAATCTATCAATATAACATCAATGAATCCAAAAACCCTTGTTCCTTCCAGGATTCTTCTCCAATCATTCTTTGAGAGCAATATGCGTATCTTGACCTTTTAGATATGATGTTAATGCTATGCTGGTAGCGAGAAACATAGGCCAAAGAAAAAACGCAATAGACTCCTACTTGCTTACAGACGATCGAACGACTCCAGACGAGTGTTACCTAAGACCAAAGCTAAACTGTATTTACTATAACATGAACAGGAAGTCGTTTCCTGTCCATTTTCCTGCTCGGTTCGTAGTCGTTTCACGTTTTCGTTAGTTGTTCCTGGTGGTTGAAATATTGGTTAAATTTTATTTGTTTGGTTGAATTTTATTTCATTGGTTGAAATATTGGTTGAATTTTATTTGTTTGGTTGAAATATTGGTTGAGTTTTATTTTGAGTTTTATTTGGTTGGTTGAAATATTGGTTGAGTTTTATTTGATTGGTTGAAATATTGGTTCAGTTTTATTTGGTTAGTTGAAATATTGGTTGAGTTTTATTTGATTGGTTGAAATATTGGTTGAGTTTTATTTGGTTGGTTGAAATATTGGTTGAGTTTTATTTGATTGGTTGAAATATTGGTTGAGTTTTATTTGGTTGGTTGAAATATTGGTTGAGTTTTATTTGATTGGTTGAAATATTGGTTGAATTTTATTTGATTGGTTGAGTTTTATTTGGTTGGTTGAGATATTGGTTGAGTTTTATTTGGTTAGTTGAAATATTGGTTGAGTTTTATTTGATTGGTTGAAATATTGGTTGAGTTTTATTTGGTTGGTTGAAATATTGGTTGAGTTTCATTTGATTGGTTGAAATATTGGTTGAGTTTTATTTGATTGGTTGAAATATTGGTTGAGTTTTATTTGGTTGGTTGAAATATTGGTTGAGTTTTATTTGGTTGGTTGAAATATTGGTTGAGTTTCATTTGGTTGGTTGAAATATTGGTTGAGTTTTATTTGATTGGTTGAAAATTTTCAAAGACGAAAGTGTCGAAGACGCTTGAATATTTTAACAAGGATTAAAAGACAGCCAATACGGAATAATTGTGTTGAAAATAGGTTGATTTACATGATAATCTCATAACATACTACAATATGGTCAGTTTTTGAAAAAAAAGGAAGAACAATATTTCAACGCAACCAAATCGGTGATTACAAGCTGTTTTTAACTAGAGTAACCTGTCCCGAGTTTTTTCTCCGAATTAGTGTTACAAAATTAGGCTAATCTAGATCGTGGATTTATTTAGCTAAAAACTCAAGTTGTTGTAGAATTCCTTCAGCTGATCACTGTTGACCAACACCAGAAAGACATTATAATCAAAATATTTGTATTCACAGAAGAGTCAAATAAAACTGTACATGATGTTGGTGTAAACATGATATACTCTTATGGTGTCATTCATATTCATCAATTGATATCTCAGCTTATATTTCAAGCTAAAAGATACTTTCCTCAACTCGAATTTGATATTCTTTTACCTGTCTGGCTGCCTCTGTTTTCTTTGGGAATATCTATGGTGAATAGCGATACATATAAAAGTTGGTTAGTTTTCAACGAAAAATCAAGATGATTGAATTTCGTGTTTGGCAGGCAAAGAAATCATTTTTGAAGTGATTGGAGTAAGTCCATATACCGCCATATATAATCATAATAACCATCATAGACATTGATCTAAACAGCTCCCGGATATATTGAACGACAGACGGGGGTCGGCTACCGGATAAAGATCCAAATTATATATAGCTCAATTTATTTAAACACATTATTTTATTACATTACATTACATTACATTATATTTGGTCAGTTGGATTTCTACAAGCTCCATTACATTACATTATATTACATTACATTACATTATATTATTACATTATTATATTATATTATATTATATTATATTATATTATATTATATTATATTATATTATATTATATTATATTTATATTATATTTATATTTATATTATATTATTACATTATTATATTATATATTACATTATTATATATATTATATTATATTATATTATATTATATTATATTATATTATATTATATTATATTATATTATATTATATTATATTATATTATATTATTACTATTATTTAAGTCAGTTGGGTTTCTACAAGCTCCATTACTATACCAATCCTGAACATTAGAGTAACTATTCCTGTATTTATCCGGATTATGAATCATCTTACACACTTGGCAAAAATGATCTATCAGTAATCTGCTACCGGTAGTGAGAACGTAATTTTCTTTGGCTTTCAAATATTCTATATAAGCTGTATCGTTTCTATCTAAATATTGAATATATTTGGCTAAATCAGAAATTGATTTAAAATCTCTCACATCTATGTAGGAATTATTGGGGTAGAAATGTTGGTAATTACCGTCACCTCTCACTATAGGAACAATACTACTGTTTTGCCTGATAAAGAATTTTTCAGTGGCATAATCACGACACAAAGAATTTTCAAAAGCTAAATAAAACTTATATGATTTTTCAATGTTTTGAAACAATTGTTTATCTCGATTCCTTTGCTTCTCGGGTCCACATCGCCCATATACCGTTACTGATATATATTTTTGTAATGATTCGACATATCGTTCACGTAAACTTGGCGTTGAACAATGGCTTACTACTTGTGCTGCTAATTTTGTTTTCTCTGCCATAATTTTTGTGTAATTTTTTGATTGTCCACTAATTTTCTTGACAATACCATAAGGTGCTGGAATATCTGAGTCATGTCGGTAAGTCATAGTCCAATTTATCTTGTCTTTTAATATTGCGTTATTAAATTCTTGTGAATGCGAAAAGATTGGAGATTCAAACACGGCAAATATCCAAATCTGTCCATTTTTAGGTTTTCTTGTCAACAATCTGGAAGAGTATCCCACTGCATATAAAATAACAGCATCACTGTCATTGACGTATTTAAATGGTTCTTTATAATGAAATCGACATGTCGATATTTCACATTTATCAAATACATTTGGTACTAGGCCTTTTTGAAACCAGCTAGGACTATTCATCATAACTATTGTTTTATTTTTCACTGGAATGTCCTGCTTGATAATTTTAAAGTGTTTTAAACTGTCTGTACTAGAATTGCCAACAGATATTTGACTATAGTTTGTCATTTGATAAACGAATTGCTGTAGTTTGGTGATGTGTGGTTGTATAATTTCTGTTTCTTTTAAATAGAATAGAATAATCAAACCAACAGATATAGTGACCACCATGAGCAGTTTCTTGTAGTTATCCATCTGAAAATAACAAATACAATTATTAACTAGAACGTGGCAACGAGACCATGAACCATGGCCTTTGAACCTTTTGATATTTGTAGACTGTTAGCTTTCAACATTTTCACACGATTTTACTGAGTCAAGGGCAATAACTCAAGGACCGTTCTTCGAAAAGCCTGTTAGCTTTCAACCGCGATGCATTTGTAGGGATTGTGAAGGCATATAAAAGTATCACGACACATTAAGAAATAACAGTTTTATGGATATAAACTTCTATTTATTACACAACGTTTCATTACACATACAGGTAGGGTTCTCACAAACAAATTTTCACGCGATTGTACTAAGTCAGGGGCAATAACTCAAAATCCGTTCATCGAAAAATCGTCAAATTCGAACATGACCGTGATCTTATCAAATCCAATGCTCACACCAAGTTTCAACAAAATCTCTACTGTTGACGGACAGACAGACGAACATGTCCATTTTTATTTATGATTAATTCTACTTACTTTTTGTTTGCTGAATTTAAAAACAAATTAAATGATTAAATTCTGCAAACAAAAATAGAAAATAGTAAACAAAAATGCTAATTCAGCAAAAAAAGTTTCAGTATTAGAATGGTTTTCTCTACATAGTTTTAGAATATTCTATCTTATGCTTTCCGAACCTGGTCAGCTATTTGTTATTGTATCTTTAGAAGTTTACCATTAAAACTCCAAGATAATTAAATTGATTAACTACATCAAGGTTTATAGCCATTGAAAGACCACTTCTCATTACCATTTTATCGTGCCACCGTTTCTAAAGATTACAATTCTAATTGCTGCAATATCAGTCATATCTCATTTGTTTGGCTATCTATATAGAGAATTTAACAAATGTTGTAATTCTTCCGGTGATTCGGATAATAAAACTGAATCATCAGCATACATCAGAAAAAAATAAAAAACAGATCACGAATTTTCAATTGAGTACAATTATCATTATTCAAATGTTTGTTTTTTTAACTTAAAACGAAAATAATGTAGGTGATAAAACTTCTCCTTGAAATAAACTATTTAAACAATCGAAGATTTCTGATAATTCTCTATGTAATTTAACGCGACATTTAACTTTGTCATATAAGGAACGGATTATTGTTAAAGTCTTTCAGTTGATATCCTGTTGTATGAGCTAATACCACGTTTATTATGTTAATTACATCAAAACATTTTGTATAATCAACGAAAAATGCGTACAATCTCAAGGTTCTATTGACCAATGACGGAAGTATACATATGGCAGCAATTGTTGAGAGATTTTGTTGGTAGGATTTTCACAAATTTAAGAAAGAAAAAAAATTCGACCTAACAAAAACCCCGAAATACCCCATTAAAACAAGTGAGACGTCTGAAACCAGATATAAATATATTTTTTTTGCAATGAAATTAAAATAATCAAAACTTACGATACAAATATCAGATGAAAACTGGTACAAACGTTTTATTATCCTTAGAATTTCCACAGGCCTTCAAATTCACTCGATCCTGTTCGTTTTCTATGTTTAGAAGGCTGGTAAGTCAACACGCAAGCGCAATGTTCTTTGAATGAATTAAGTTCAGAACTGAGCGAATTATATCCCATTTTAACGAAATAATTATTTCATTTAAACAATAAGTTATTCGATTTAACGAAATAATTATTTCGTTTAAATGAAATATATGATATTATTTCGTTTAAACGAAATATATGATATTATTTCGTTTAAACAAATTAATCATGTCGTTTAAACGAATTAATTATTTCGTTAAAACGAAATATTTTATAAAAGTATGGAAAATTGCTCCTTAGGGGCTCCGTACAAAACAGTACACGTAGCCTGAATTCTCATTCTTTAAAGCTGCGGACAGACTGGGCGAATTTTCACGGTGAATGGTTCGTGCAAGTCAATGTGTGTACAAAATGTATGATAATGAAAAAACAGATAAAGCATTAAAACGTCCTATTATAAAGAGATGTTAGAAGCGTTTATTTAAAGGGGCAGATGCTAGAAATGAACCAAAATCTCATAGTTCCTTTAAAAATACTTTTTTTGGTTTTGCACGCAAGATTTTATTGGGGAAATAAGAAGAAATTAGGATGCGGAAGAATAATTATGAAAATAGACGTTTCCAGTACAGACAGATGTCTACTTTCGATTTGCCGAATTAAGAATTGCCATGGTCATGTTATATTCAATTTTTTGATTAAACAATAATTATTAGTCAGACTGCAGTATTGTTTATAGATGTCCCCCTTGTAGCCACCACTGCAGTATTGTTTATAGATGCCTCCCTTGTAGCCGTCACTGCAGTATTGTTTATAGATGTCCCCCTTGTATCAGTCACTGCAGTATTGTTTATAGTTGTCCCCCTTGGTGCCGTCACTGCAGTATTGTTTATAGATGCCTCCCTTGTAGCCACCACTGCAGTATTGTTTATAGATGTCCCCCTTGGTGCCGTCACTGCAGTATTGTTTATAGATGTCCCCCTTGTAGCCACCACTGCAGTATTGTTTATAGATGCCTCCCTTGTAGCCGTCACTGCAGTATTGTTTATAGATGTCCCCCTTGTAGCCGTCACTGCAGTATTGTTTATAGATGTCCCCCTTGTAGCCACCACTGCAGTATTGTTTATAGATGCCTCCCTTGTAGCCACCACTACAGTATTGTTTATAGATGCCTCCCTTGTAGCCACCACTGCAGTATTGTTTATAGATGCCTCCCTTGGTGCCACCACTGCAGTATTGTTTATAGATGTCCCCCTTGTATCCGTCACTGCAGTATTGTTTATAGATGTCCCCCTTGGTGCCGTCACTGCAGTATTGTTTATAGATGTCCCCCTTGTAGCCACCACTGCAGTATTGTTTATAGATGCCTCCCTTGTAGCCGTCTCTGCAGTATTGTCTATAGATGCCTCCCTTGGTGCCACCACTGCAGTATTGTTTATAGATGCCTCCCTTGTATCCGTCACTGCAGTATTGTTTATAGATGCCTCCCTTGTAGCCGTCACTACAATATTGTCTATAGATGTCTCCCTTGTAGCCGTCATTACAGTATTGTTTATAGATGTCCCCTTGTAGCCGTCACTGCAGTATTGTTTATAGATGTCTCCCTTGTAGCCACCACTACAATATTGTTTATAGATGTCCCCCTTGGAGCCGTCACTACAATATTGTCTATAGATGTCCCCCTTGGAGCCGTCACTACAATATTGTCTATAGATGTCCCCTTGTA